GTAGTAGTAGGAGTAGCAGTAGCATTAGCAGCGGCAGTGGCAGTAGCAGTAGCAGCAGTGCTAGTACTCATAAGGCTAGTACTAGTATGGTAGTAGCAGTAGTAGTAGCAGCAGTAGCAGTAGCAGTAGCAGTAGCAGTAGTAGTAGTAGTAGTAGTAGAAGTAGGAGAAGGAGTAGGAGTAGGAGTAGGAGTAGGAGTAGGAGTAGGAGTAGCAGTGGCAGTGGCAGTGGCAGTGGCAGTGGCAGTGGCAGTGGCAGTGGCAGTGGCAGTGGCAGTGGCAGTAGCAGCAGTGCTAGTACTCATAAGGCCAGTACTAGTATGGTAGTAGTAGTAGTAGTAGTAATAATAATAATAGTAGTAGTAGTAGTAGTCGTCATGATAGCAATGGTAACAGTATTGGTAATAGTAAAGGCCCTAGTATTATTATTGGCAGTAGCACTTGCAACAGTCACAGTAGTAGTACTAGGTGTAGTTGGGCAAATCGGCTAAACAGACAACCTTCGCCTAGAAAAACTTAACTTTGCGGCACCATCGCGGAAATTTCGCGAATTCATATTCAGCTGTGCAGTTGGCCTCTCATATAAATTATGGCTGTAGGACCTGTAAATCAACTACCACATATGTTATCCCAACCAGCCCCCCATGCCCAAGGCGGTACAATCAATGCAGGACGTCCCACAGGGCGGGGTGTGGTGACATACATAGTAATACATAGGTGGCGACCAGGCACAGGCCGCACCCTGACTACACGTGGGATGGGCAACGGGCAATAAAACAGAAGTCGTTGTTCCATCGCTCAGACTTTCACGTTCATGCTCTGCACAGCATCTGTGACATGCACCTGAGTGCCCAGCTTTCCAACTCCACTACCAACCTTTGACGGATTCTACAGGCTCTGGCTTGAGCGAGGGAGTTGGCGCTTGCATTGCATTGCCAACAGAAACACGATTGCTGGCCGCTGGCTCTCAACTGGCTATGTGACTTCTCAATGCCTATACCAAAAATATTTTATATATATATATATATATACATTCTTGCTCGGAACCTTGGACTCTGACCCGCTCCAGCCTACACATGCAGCCGTGTCGCGTAACCGAAATCGGCATCTGCCATCTCTCCGGGCCTCAAAGGATGGGGCCATTCGGGCCATGAATTCAGTACTGCACGTCCGACTCTGGGATTCGTGCCCGTTGACTATGCACCCCATGACGGCAATTCGGACACCTTGTCAGACATGCTTCCTAGAAACTCCCGGTGTCTCGACGTGTCTCGATGACTCTGCAACTCAAAATCTGCCTGGGAGATGCCCGGTTCGTGATTGAATCTTCGCCGTGGTTTCCTGCCTTAACCACACAGAGAAGCCACAGCTTCGGGCCTGGACCGACTGCTGGGCACCAAGCAGATCAAAAAGAGTTCGACCACAGGACGGACAGCTGATGAACTCCGTCTTGGAAATACGCATTCGCGAAGCCTGTGTGTAGCAAGTGTGTGACGCATGCACTGCAGGCCGAAGTCCTATCGCATTGCTCCGAAGACTGTCGAGTGCCTGGAGAAGGTTAAAAGAGGATTCGCGCAGCTCATCAGACGAGAGATCCTGTCACTGCTTCAGGCCCTCCGAGACGTGGTGCAGTGGGTCTATTGCTCTGAGCTTTCCATTGAGGTGCTCGTAAGGCCGCTGCTTCTGCATCCCAGAGCAGGCCTTCACCCATTCCATCCTTAAAGCAACAGACCAGCGCGAGCGCACGGAATCAGTTTTGAACCATGAGAATCACCCCGCTGACAGGACAAGCGTCCACGAAGAGACTGCCGAAGTCTGCCGAGGCCTCCACGACCTTGCGAGCAGCGCTTCTCACTGTCAGTCTCATAACCACATTCAATACATTACATCAAGGTCAAGACAACATCATCTTGGTCTTTGTTGTCTTCCTGTTAGACAACACGTTTGTCAATGGCGTTCAGCTCCCCTTTGCACGGTAAGGACCATGGGGGACTCTGGTGTAGCTACACATCCACGGGACACTCCTTGGCATAGTGGAACCAAAGCATGGTGGGAACCTGGGCAAAGAAGGCTTGCAATCCCACGAGCCCTTCCCCGCACACGTTGTAGAGACACGGGCGGACTTGCCGACCTCCAGCTGGCTCAGCTG